TGGTGTCTGAGCCCTGAAGAGCTTCCCCACCACTGAGTCCTTTGCCACGTCTGCAATGGAAAACAGGGATCATCGGCGTGTCCGAGGGGGAAGGGCAGGGGGAGGAGGCCCAGACAGCCAAGACTGAGGGCACCCAGCAAGGTGGGGATGTGGAAGGAGCTGGGAACGAAGGAGGAGGAAGCAGGAATACTCACTGGTCTCCAAGCTGACCCTGGCCCTGCAGGAAGGTGTCCCCAGCACGGCTCCAGCCTGGGGGAAGGAGGGAAGGACACGGGCTCAGCTCGGGGTCCCGCTGGGATGGAGCCACACCAGCCCTGTGCTACATCTTCCCAAAATTTGAACTGCTCAGCTGCCACAACTGCTCCCTCTGAACCAGGGGCACAAGCCACACTTCTGCTCCTGGGATTGTGGCTTTTCATGGAAAAGCCTGGAACTGTAAAACCTGGGCTCGTGGAGGAATCAATACCTAAATTCAGGGAGTAGGATACAAGGTTGACCACTGCTATGGTCATGATTAGGAGTCAGGCTCCATGATCCCTGAGGGTACCTTCCAGCTCTGGATATTCCATGGCTACTCTTTTCCCACTGTTCAGAACAATGTTACCTAAAGACCACAGAATTCCAAAGCAGTTACAAATCCCAACCCGAGGCTGTGGCTTTAATCCTGACAATAAGCAGCTCCTTTCTAACAAAAGGGACTTTTCTCCACAGCAGTAGAGACCAAACCCCGGGGTTTGGGAGGAAGCTGGGGAGGGTTCCTGCTCTCCATGCCAGGGATGTGTCTCCTGCAGGCCCCTGGCTGAGGTGGCAGGGGGCAGTACTGGGGGGAAGCAGCATTACCGACTTCTTCTGGACCTTGTCCCAGGTGCCCCTGCTGCCCTGTGTGCGCTTCTGCATCCGGAACACGTGTCTGTCCAGCTCCTTCCTGCGGGGCACAAGGAGCACGTCGGTGGGGCTGCCACAGCCCCCCAAAAACCTGCTGGATGCAGCCATGGCATCACATCCAGCTCCAGCTCAGGGAATGGGCATGGCCAGGAAAACTGCTCTGGGTCAGTTAGACAGAGTTGGGTGAGATCAGGGCTGGAAATCCTAATGAAAGGGTCAGACAGGACTTCTTCCTCTTCCCATATGGAGTTCCTGGCCCTCAGTCAAACCCCCTGACTCCTAGTTTCCAGATGATTCCAGTGAGTTTAGCAGAGCCTGAAGCCCTGGGTAACAGGGTCAGACTGCTGTGCTGAGGCCCAAAGCCCATCCCAGTGCCATCCCCAAAGCCCACACTGAGCTGGGCAGCTCCACCAGCGCCCATGGCCACAGGGGCCGGAGCAGGGCTGGCAGGAGGGGCTGTGAGGGACCTGGTGTCCCACTTCCAGGAGCTGTCTCCCTCAGAGGGACCTTGGGGAAGAGCCAAAGGCCCAGGCTGGCAGACGAGCTCCTACCTGCTGCTGGGGGCCACATTCCCGGGCTGCTGTGCTGCACTGGGGGGTTTCCCAGCTCCTACCTGTTGATGGGGGCCACATTCCCGGGCTGATGTGCTGCCCTGGGGGGTTTCCCAGCTCCTACCTGTTGACGGGGGCCAGCATTCCCGGGCTGATGTGCTCGCACTGGGGGGTTTTGGCCAGCGGGAACACAGCTGAGCTGGGGCTGAGCGAGAGCTCCCCCAGGGAAAAGTCCTCGGGGTCGTCGTTCCGGAGCGGCGGCAGCTGCAAAGCCACCCCAGAGCCATCAGGGGCCTGAGCCAGGGGTGTCCCTGTCCCCAGAGACAGCCCAGACTCTCCCCTCTCCTCCACAGTCACTCCAGCCCTTCCTCACTGCGGTGGCTGTGACTCCACCCTGTCCCTGTGCAGGGACACAGACACGGCCCAGCGGCCAATCCCCACACGCTGCTCCCGGTGCTGCCCAGCCCCTGGGGACAGTTTGGATGCCACCACACACTCAGAGATCACTCAGAGTGATCAGAGTGATCTCTGATTAGAATTCCGAGCTCAAAGCTGACCATGGCTGCTCAGAAGGAGGGTTACTCAGGGAACTTGTGGTCCTCGCGTTTGGAAGAGAGAGAGGCACTGGAAAGGCTCAGGGAGGAGCAGCACAGAAGATCCAAAGCACACCTGAAACTGGGAGCAGGGACAGGACAGGATCCAGGACAGGGTCCATGAGGAGAGGAGGACAAAGTCAGCAGATGGAAGTTCAGAACACACAAGAGGAGATTGTTGTTCACACAGCAAAGGATTTGGCTCTAGAACTTAGCACAGGAAATTCCAGATGGGAAGAGCCTGCCTGGGCTCAAGGAGGAGCTGTGCTGGTTCAGGGAAGGGGAATCCACTCCTGACTCCCATACACAGGATTTCTCTCTGGAGGTGCCACTGGACACTACAGGAGGAGTCAGGCTCTTCTGCTCAGCACAAGCAGAATGAATTTGAGGAAGCCTTTGGAACCACTGGCTGAAATTATATTCTATTAAAAGAGTCATGTCTGGAGAATCCCTCTGCAAAACCAGGGTGTCTTGGACATGGAAGCATCGATGCCCTCAGAGCCAGTTGCTCATCCCAGTCCCAGGAATCCCCAGTCCTGGGGATTTCTCTGTGCCACGCTGCTGGTTACAGCACGTGCTGAATTTGCCTGGGAGCTCTGACTTCCCAGGAGCCATGGCTGGATGTGTGCCA